AGGGGCAGCGGGTGGAGGTGGCGGCTGCTTCGCGTCCTCGTGTCTGTCCGTCCTGTGCCCGGCGCCCTCATCGCTCTGCGCCTCGCAAACGCGCTGCCCTCGCCCCCAGGGCAGTTAATAACGTTATTGTTAGTAATAATAATAATAAACGTATAAATAATTAATTGTCCGCTTTCTGGGCCTGCCCTGGGCACCCTGGCTCTCCCGAATGCCCGCGTGCAGATGAGCCCGGCGTCGTGGTCCTCGCAGTGGCTGGCAATGGCGCTGCCGTCGCCGGGGAAGGTGGGGGAAAGCTTGGGAGTTTGAGGGTTTATTTAACTGGTATTTCTCTTTCTAAACATGATGTTCCTGAAGTTGTCTTCCTGTGAAAATCGTTTATTCTGAGGCGAAAACACTAGCTAAGAATGTTTTAATATCTGAAAGCCTGTTGTAGTCTCAGAAGCCGCTTATTTATAAGGAAAATATATGGGCGCATCATGAGGTAAAGGAATAGAAGAAAATATTTGCTGGAGGCCAGCTGGAACACTGGCTCGTGGTGCCAGGAAAGACTCTGGTGGGGTCTCAGTCCCTGGATATCCCAGAATGGCTGAGGTTGGAAGGGACCTCTAAGGACCCTCTAGTCCAACCCTGCTGCTCAAGCAGGGTCAAACCGGACCCAGCCTCGGTGACCTGGGCAGGGGGCTCCAGAGCTGCCTCCAGCCCTGGCTGTAGTGTCCCATGTTTTGGTGTTGAACACTTGCTTTATGTCCTATTTTTTTTTTTCCAACAGAGGAAAGCAAAATGGTCTTTTCCCCAGTAAAGACAACTTCAGCCTTGGCAGAGTGGAATAGCACTGTTTTTGGCTCTGGGGCAGGCCGTGTAGTGTTGGCCCTTTTATTACCCGTCTCCCCGGGCGCTGGAGGCCAGAGCTCCCTACCCTGGGAAGCTGCAGCCATCCCACGGCTTTTCCACGGAGCTGCAAGGGGCCCGAGACACCGAGCGCGGGGGCGGCGCCTTTAAGGGGCGGTGCTGAGGGAGCCCAGGGAAAGGCAGAGGGGCGGGGCCAGCGCGCCCCCCTCAGCCAATCAGGCGCCGGCAAAACACGCGCCTCCGATTTTGACGCGCCAAAAATTCTGTGTGTCGCGGGGCCTTGTGTCCCTGTGCCCGGAGGAAAAAGAGTCCGCGGGGGGATCCGGCGGGAGGGCCGCAGCGGCGGCGGCGCGTGGAACGTGGCGCCGGAATTCGCAGTGTCGCTGCGCGTCGCTTCGGGTCTGTGTCGTGTTGCTCTTGGTCTCGGTTTCAGGCTTGGTCACTGGTTCGGTCTCTGGCTCTGACTCGATCTCTGGTTCTGTCTCGGTCTCGCCTCGGTTTCTGCCTCGGCACCGGCGCGGTGCCCCGGCGCCCCGCGCCACGCTGGTGCTGCGGCCCCGCTGCGCTCCGGGCGGCCCCGCGGCG